AGAATGTAAAACAATGTAGTCAGTCTTCTCACTAAATGGCTTTTTAAAGTCTGGGAAATTTTTTCGCAAAAATATATTAACATTAGGAGGGTTATTGCAATGTTTAAATCAATTAGTAAATATTTTTGAAATTCCTATTTTAATTTCTAATACAATAAATATTGATAGGCATAATCCTTATAAACAAAAGCTCTTTGTGGTCCTTAATAGTTTTTAAGTATAAAGGAATCCTGAGATCAAACAGTTTGAAAACTAGTGGTTTAGTAGATAAGAGACCAGGCTCTGGAGTTAGTGTGCTTAGGCATGAACCCAGGTTTTGTGATCTTAGGCAAGTTACTTAACCTCTCTGAGAGTTGGTTTCCTTATCTGTAAAGTAGGCTATCTCCTACAGTATTATGAACAACAAATAGAGTAATATATTAGTGACGGTCTGCAGAGTGTTGGGCACAGAATGATCATTTCATAAGTGTTTACTATTTCATTATATAACTGATCAAGTATCTATTCTATGCATAACTGTGCTAAGTCCTGTGAAGGATGTAAAATGCATAGGTTATGAATCTGACTCTGAAGGGGTTTGCCGCCCTCTGAAGGGGAGAGATTTCTAAATTTATGGTTGACATCTTTGGTTTCAATTTCCAGCTCTACCCTTGACTAATGACCTGACCTTGAATGAACCACTTCTTGTGGGGTAAAGTCAGATAATAAAGCCGTCCACAATGGTCCACTGAAGAGAGAGTAAGCTCCCACTTGTATCTTTCAGGCATCACTGCCTGGCTCAGGTTAACCCTTTATCCTTCTCCTCAATAATTATGCTAAATCATTGCTTTCCATTTCCAGAACATACTTTTCCTCCTGAGATAATATAACTATGCCACTAGAGGGCACCCCCTGCCTTCTTATTTATTCAGTTGTTGCTTTTCTGTAATTTGGAACTCTTTTAGCTGAGTTGGATGGGAAGTGCAGATTCTGTCTCAGCTTGGTGAGTGTGGTAAGTTTTATCTGCAAATCCTGACACTGTTTTTATCAGTCAATACACACTTACTGAGACCTCTTGAAATGAAACTGGGGGAGAGGGATTGGCAGAAGGGAGACTGTATCCCCTGACATCGCTGCGCATCTCCTCTATTCCAGGGCTGTGCTAAGTGCCTCAAGTGAATCATGCAATGGAATCTCAGAGCAACACCAAGGGGTATTTTTAATAGCTGGGGAACCAGGCTCTGGTTAGTTAGGTAACTTGTATAAAGTCCATTGTGGTGGATCTAGTTCAAGCCCTGCAACTCTGAAAAAGGGAGTGTTACACACTGATCCTGGATGAAGAGGAGCCTCCAGAGATGGGGTAGATTAACTCTGTAGAGAAGTGTGTGCTGATTGCAGAGAAGGGCAAGAGCTGTGAACTGGAGAAGGGGAGGCCTGGGCCTCGTGGGAGGCAGGGTTTGGACAGAAGAAGACCAGAGAGCATTTGGTCAGGCAAAGGAATAACACTTGGTACAATGAAATCTGCTTTAGGGGCTCCTCAGCCCTGGCTGTAAGCCCTCAAAGTAAGGAGCAAGTCTCACTTTTCTAGGACAGTAGTTCTCAGTCGTAGCAGACACAAAACCCCCCTTACTGTCCTGATGTGAAATTCTAAGACGGTTCCAGATCTATGTTCACATGTATGCTTACATATAATACACAGGGAGGGACCTCATAACAGTCGAGTGTCAGGCCTGCCTATGTGCATACCCACCAAAACTGGCGGCACAACTTTCCAAGCTGTCCACCAGGGGGCGGCACACCTCTTCCGTGGCTGTGAACAGCTCGGGCCAAGTCTGCGGGGACTCCTCCTATGATGGCCTGATAGTTTCCCTGAGGGGCTCTGAGTGGTGAGGGCGGGGTTATAAAGACAGGAAGTCAGACTATGGAGCTGACGATCAAGTTAGTCGATTTCTGGTCTGAATACACCATGATTAGAGTCTTCTTCTGCTTTAAAATTGTAGTTATTGCCACTTGCTTAAAGAGTGACGATGAAGTAACATGTTTACTTCCGTTGAACTTTTCGAGGTTACTTTGCATCATAGCAAGTGATCAATATTCATTTAATATTTTCCTTAAATTCATTTAACTTTTCTTTAACCTAGATGCATATATTTAAATGGAAATTTTAAATTAAGGTATAAATGGAAAACTTGTATCACCTAGCATAATTAGAGGGTAACCTATAAAAAACAAAATACAACAATGTTGCCACATTCTTGCTGATTCCTACAGTGTTTCCCACCAAAGGCCCATTCTCTCTATAAAAAGGGAGTTTAACAAGTGTTGAAGAACTATTGCAGACATAGTCACACTGAATGGACAGAGTCTCCTTAATCAGGACTAAAAGAGGCATCAAGGGATATTTTTCTCAGTAAGAGAACCCATTTTATTCATCCGTTCATTCACTCATCATTTTCTTTGATAGAGAGCAGTGCAGAGCCTGATGCTGGAGTCTAACTCATGAACCATGAGATCATGACCTGAGCCAAAGTCAGACATTCAACTGACTGAGCCACCCAGGTGCCCCTGAGAATCCACATTATTTAGAGCTTTGTCTGTGTGCCCCTAAAATTATCCCCTATACAACAGTGGACAAAATGTCTCCCCCTCTGGGACCCTGGTTCAGCAGGTCAAGGGACAACTTACTAACTGTGTGTCCTCCACATGTCACTTACCCCTCTGGTTCTTTATGTCCTCAATATGAGAAGATTAGAAGAAACCTCTGCAGTTCTTCGGGACCTAATGGTTGAAGACTCTCTGAAGCCCTATTTTTCACTGGAAGACCTAGGACTTAAGGAAGGTATCCTTCCTTTTTGTGTTTAGAACTTTTGATGAAGGGCCCTGGAGAAAGTCAAGGGTTCTCACAAACCCCAACCAGCACTCTCTCCCCTGAGAGGCAGTTTAGCCTAACAGAACAGACCAGCTAACAACTGAGACTCTGGAGTCCAGGAGACCTGGATGTCAATCCTTGCTCTGCTCTTCCTGGTTTTGTGACTTTAACCAAGTTACTTCTTTGGCTTTACTTCTGTATCTATAAATAGGGATAGTAATAGTATTTATCCTTAGCGTGAAGATGAAATCATAATATGTATGTCAGGTACTTAGTATAGTGTCTGGCTCATATGTTAGCGGTTATTGTTGCTTGTTGTGGTTAATTCCTAGGATTTTTTTTTTTTTTTAAAGGAATTGGTAAACCTTAGAAATAAGCTATTGGGGGATGTGATTGGTGGCCCTGTTCCTAATATTTTTAAGCTGATAAATGAATATTATAGGTACCCAAGAAGGGAAGGCCTTGTCTGAGAAAGGTGAATGTGAATGTACAAGGTCGTTGCATCCACACGTGGCCTTGATGATGGGTTTAGGACTTTTAGAAAAGTTAAAAAAAATTTTTTTTTTCTTGTTTTAAAGCACTCAGCTTGTTTAAAGCTGAGTGACTTGTGGCTTTCTAGCCTCCAGGCTTCCTGTATCTCTGACTGGGCCCTGGGTGTAGGCACATGCAAGTGTGTGAATAGAACAGGAAAGTGGGGGGAACAGTAGTGGGGCAAGGTTTATCCCTGGGCCCTTGATCTGCCTTACCACCAAGGCAGGCCTGTTCTAGGCCAGGTGGGGGTGGGCAGGGTAACTGGGGCACTGGGAGCCTGGTGTTTGGAAGACCAGCACTGCTCATGCTTGCTGCCACTTCTGGTACATTCCAGACAAGGTAGCGTTTTCTTACCCAAGACACCTTGTTGGCATGACCATGTGAATGCTACCTAAATGCTACCGAAATGCTACCTAGTGCTACCCCAAAGAGAGAGTTCTGTTAGATAAGCTGTGGACCTGGATTTTCATTCTGACTTGACCACTAATGAGTTCCGTGACCTTTCTGAACATTTCTGCTTCTTCCTTTTTTTATTTGTAAAATGAAAGATCAAGTTATACCAGTGGTTTTAGAGTTATAGTTTATGTGTGGGTTTGGTAGGTAGGTCACAGAATCCTTAGACAAGCTGATGAAAATTAGACTTTTTCTACAGAAGAGTGCATGTCCCCACACATTTTATATAAAATTCAGGGTATTTTATGACTCCCCTGGAAACCCATCCTTGGATTCCAGCTTGCAAACCATTCTGTGCTTCATTCAGCTTACAAGCTTCTGTGAAGCCCATGGCTTCCAAGTTGATTTTCCTACTGAGCCCAAACCAAATGAAGAATCTGTCCATTTGTAAACAAGTGCTTAGCACATTCTCCCCTCCCTTTCAGCCAGCTGCAGCTCAGCAGGGCCGTGGAGAGATGTGCCACCAGGGCCTTTGCACACCCCATGCAGGTTATTCCCTGAACGAGGCATCCCCAGCTGATGGCCAAGCCTTTTCCTAATTCACACAAAAGCAGGAAATGGGCCAGTAGCAGATTGTGCAACATGTACTTGCACACCAAAATATAAGATGCAGTGGGACACTTTCTAGCCGAGGGCTTGCTGTCCCTTTGTGGACTCAGTAGACAGCGTTAATTAGTGGCTGCAGAGAAGGCTCACAATATACACTTAAAACTCAGGCAAGACTGGGTTCCTTGAATTACGACTCTTGTGGAAAGTAACTGGATTCATTGGAGTTCTCAGTTGCAGGTATTGTAAACCCATTCGCTGATTTGAGCAGAAAAGGAATTTATTGAAAGCATGTCAGGTGGTTCACAGTAATGTCAACATAGCTACAGCCCGGGTGCGAGATAAAGGACAGTGACAAGGGAGGTCAGGTGTCCCTCACAATAGCAGTCTGCATGATGACCCAGCCCCCGTCTAGCATAGACATCAGGCTAATGCTGCTGCCGCCAGGATCATGGGATGGAAGTTGTCTCCACTCCAGTTAAAAGGAAGTCTCTAGGGCCTTGTTTTACTGCCTGTGCACATCTGATTGGTTGAACCTGGGTCATGTGTTTAACTATCCCAGCTGCAAGGTACACTGGGAAAGTGAATGACTGACATTTCCCAATCTGTAGAGGGTGTGCTCTCTGCTTCCCACCAAGACCCTGAAGGAGGAGCCCCCCCCACCACCGCTGCCCAATAATTGAAGACAGCTCTCCCAAATCAACAGACATTCAACAGAAACAGAAACCAGCAGAGCTGGCTTCAGTAAAAAGGACTCTCAGAGGCTACAGAGTGTTTCGTGGCACCAAGGGCAGCAGGGAAGCCGGACCTCTGCAATGGCCTGGAACCAGGTACTTGAAAATCAGCAGAACTCTTCCCCCAGATGTCATCTCTGCATCTCTGTGCTGCTCCTTCATGTTCTCTCTCTGCATTCTGACATTTAATTTTTTCAGTTTAGGAGGCAAGTTCTTATGGTAAAAATGAGGTCTTTAAAGCTCTCAGGGTCCCTTCAGGAAGGAGAGCTAAGCACAAGAGATGGCTCCCAATCCCCTCACACCTTTGTTCAGCTACTCAGGATGGGTAGCTGTTCTACCTGGTTTTCACCCACTGTGGAGGTCACTTTAGATAACCTGAGTATCCCTCCTTAGGTCTCTCTGAAGCTGTGGTTAGAGGTCTTCCTCACATTCCTGGTGGAGGGTCTGGGGTCTCAGAAATTCAGTGACTTAAGATTCTGACTGGTCCATGAATGAGCTGGTACATGTACAGTGCTCAGGAGAGGCCTTAGTGCGTGGAAGACTCTGAACAGATGTAGTTATGTCCCTGGGATCTCCTTTCTTCCAAAGTGTATTTCTTTCCTCTTTTTTTCTTTCTCTTCCTTGGCTCATTCTGTCCCTTCTTCATTCATTTTTTTCCCCAAAAATATGTCCTGAAGGCCTTCTGTGTGCCTCGTTCCATTGTAGGTACTGAGAACTGAGAACTCCTCTCTGACCGAGGCTTTCATTTCAGTAGAAAGGAAGCAAACAAGACAATTTCTGATGGTGGTAAGTGCTCTGAAGAAACTAAACAGAGTGGCAGGGGCTGGTTCTGGGGGAGGGCTGCTTTGAAGGGGTGATTAGGGAAGATGCCTCTGGGGTGGTGTTTAGGAACTGAGACAGGAAGGATGAGAAGGAATAGCATGGGGAACAGCCCTGAGGTGAGAACATGCTGGAAGGAAGGAAGGAAGGAAGGAAGGAAGGAAGGAAGGAAGGAAGGAGCGAGTATGTGGTTGGAGCATGACGGGGTAAGTGTAATGGGAGATAAAAGTGGAGGGAAGGCCAAGGCCACATCAGGAAAGGCTCTGTAACAACATGCTTGATCTAAGCGCAAGGGATGGGGAAGCCACGGGAGCCATTTAAGTAGGGCCCTCTTGTGATCTGATTTACAGTAAAATTGATTTTATCAGAGAACCACAAACTGAGGGACATTCTAAAACCAAACAAAGCTAAACAACAAAGACAACCCAACTGACCTGTAATCGTCAAAAATGTCAAAGTCACAAAAGACAAAGAAGGGCCGAGGAACTGTTGCACATTAGAGTCATGGCAATCGAGTGCATTGTGTGGTCCTGGGCCATTTGTTTTTTGTTTTTTTTTTTTTAAAAGAACTTCTTTGTTGGCTTATTAGCTATAACTGTTTGTGTGTGTGTTTCTCTTCTCTTTTAGTGGTTACTTTAGAATTTATAGTATACATGTTTAGCTCATTGCACTCTACTTTGAGGTGATATTATTATCACTTGATACTTCACGTATGGTGTAAGAACCTTGAATAGTGTACCTGTGTTTCTTCCCCTTCCAGCCTTTTGTGCTATTACTGTCATACATTTGTACTTTCTAATACGTTATAAACCCCATATTACAACGTCATCATGTTGTTTAAACAGTCCATCGCCTCTAAAAAGATTGAACTAAGAAAACATGCCTCCCCACCTCCACCCCCTGTCCCCAGTGTTCTTCACTCCTTTGTGGGCTCCAGATGACCATCTTAGGTCTCATCTGTTGGCAGAACTTCTTCAATGTATTTCTTGAAGTATGCATCTGCTGCTAATGAACCCTTCAGCTTTTGTATGTCTGAAAAAGTCTTTATTGTGGGATTCTAGGTTGACAGGTGTTTTTCTTTCTTTCAGTACTTTAAAGATGAAATTCCACTGATATTCTTGAGGAGAAATCTGCTATTTTTCAATGAGGAGAAATCTGCTATTATTCTTATCCCTATTGTTCTGTGCCTAATGGCTTTTTCTTTTAATAGCTACTTCTCCTTGTACCCAACCACCCTCATGTTACTGATATTGAACAATTATATTATGATGTTTTCTTCATGTTTCTCCTGTTTGGGGTTTTTTGGCTTCTCATGTCTCTGGGTTGATAGTTTTTATCAACTTTAGAAAGTTTTCATCCATTTTTTCAAATAGTCTTTTCTTTCTGTGACTCCCCCCCCTTCTTTGGGCCTCCAATTACATGTATATTAGGCCTCTGAAACTGTCTCATAGTCCACTGATTCTCTTTTCATTTTTTTCCCAGCTTTTTACTTTGTGTATTTCCATTTTGTATGATTTCTACTACTGTGTCTTCTCTTTTACTAATATTTTTTCCAGAATTTTTAATCTCTCTTTTTTTTTTGAGTATGATTTTATATCTTTCCAAAATCATTAGTATAAATTCTTTGTTAGAACAAACCATATGGAAGTGTGGAGAATTCTTTTTACTTTTTTAAAATTTTTGAGAGAGAGAGAATGAGTCAGGGAGGGGCAGAGAGAGAGGGAGACACAAGATCCCAAGCAGGCTCCAGGTTCAGAGCTGTCACAACAGAACCAAACGCAGGGCTCAAATGCATGAACCGCAAGATAGTGGCCAGAGCCGCCAAAGTTGGGACGCGTAAGTGACTGAGACACCCAGGCTCCCCAGAAGGGTGGAGAATGCTAATGAAGATTTAAAAAATATATATCTTTTTGGAACTGCCAAAAATTAGCATGATAAAAGTTGCCATATAAAGTAATATTCGAGTGGTGCCTGGGTGGCTCAATTGGTTAAATGTCACACTTTGGCTCAGGTCGTGATCTCACAGTTTGTTGTTTGACAGCCCAGAGCCTGGAACCAGCTTCAGATTGTGTGTCTCCTCTCTCTCTGCCCCTCCCCCACTCATGCTCTGTCTCTCTAAATAAACAGATAAATAAAAATAAACATGAAAAAATAATATTAGAGAATATAATATTTATTTCTCTTTAATAACAAAGCAGAAACAATATGCCCATATGCATGATTTTTGCCTAAACCATTCCTCAAAATTGGACTAAAAAAGTCCTTCTTTTAAAGATTTCAGGAGGAAAAATAGTTCTAATAGCCCTCTTGGATGATCATTATGTTTTAATTTTAGCACATAGTTTCTTAGATCTTTAACAACTTCATCTGGTGTTAATTGAGGTCCATTTCCAAGAGCGATACCTAAACTGTTTTATCTAATAATTTGTATAAAAATATTTCATTACTGCCTTATTATTACATAACTAACCCTAAGAAGAAGCACTATTATGTAACAGGGAAATATCTCTGAATGCCAATATACTTTGCTCCTAGTTTGGATTCTTTCATTAAATAGTTATGAAACTTTGAGGGAATCCATTAACCTCTTTTGGCTTCTTTGCACTCATTTGTTTAAAACAATGAGTTTTAAAAATATGTCTTGATTACTTTTTTTAGAAAGGAAAGGACTGTGGAGAAAAAGTAGGGGAAAAAAGGAATATCTATAGACAGATATGATTATCCAGAATCATATTTGAATTTTTAGATTTTTCTAATCTGCTCTTAACCCCATCCAGTACAATTTTCAGATATAGTTTTCAAATCTAGAAGTTCGACTTGAGTCTTAAAAATATATTCTCTGACTATACTTAACTCTGAGTGTATAGACTACTGCTATAGTAGATGTCTTCATATTTGTCTGTTAATTCTAACATATGTGTCCCTTCTGCACCAGTTTCAACTGATTGTTCTTTCTCTTCTGTATGGGTCTCATTGTTTGCATGCCTGGTAATTTGTTATGGGATGCCAGACATTGTGAATTTTAACTTTTTGCGTGCTGGATAGTTTTCTTTTCCCATAGGAAATGTCTTGAGCTTGGCTCTGGGATGCAGTTACTTACAAACAGATTAATCCTTTAAGAGCTTTTAAGAGTTGTTAAGGCCAGGGCAACATCTAGTCCAGTGTTAATTATAGCTCTTGACTAAGGTAAGACCCTTCTTTTTATTCTACCAATGCCCCATGGATTATGATGTTTCCCAGCCTGTTTGGTGGGGCCACCAGGCACTAGCTATGCTGATGCCAAGTGAATGATAGATACTCTTCCCTTGAATTCTTTCTGGTGGTTCTTCCCCTGGCCTCGAATAGCTTTCTCACAGGCCTGCCATGATCAATACTCTTCTGAACACTTAAGTGGGACACTGTGTACAGCTCTGGGGCTCTCTCTGTACACCTCCTTCTCTCTGGTCTCTCTTGTGACCTTTAGCCACTAAGGACTTCAAGCACTCTCAGATCTGTCTTCTCAACTAGAGGTATTTGCTGGGTTGTTCCTTCCCATGTCATGGCCTGGAAAGTTTAGTAAGGTAGTGAGTTAGGGGCAATTGTGGGACTTCCCTCAACTGTCTCCCATCTCTAAGGTATCACTGACTTTCATCACCTCATGTCCAGGGTCTTGAAAACCTTTGTTTCATATATTTTGTTTGGTTTTTCAGTTGTTTCATGTGGGATGGTAAATCTAGTTCCAGTTACTCCATCGTGGCCGGAAGTAGATGTTCTTCTGTTGGTTTGGCATTATTTAAAATAAAAAGTTAAAAAAATCTAGTTGCTGTGTGTATGGAAAGAATAGAAGCAGGAGACATATGGTTGAGGGAGAAAGAATGGTCATTTGGAATTGGCTGGTGATAGTGAAGTTGGAGAAAAACAGTTGCCTTGGCAATTTGTTTCATAAATAGAATTTACATGACTGGCTGGTGGATTAGATGGGCAGAAATGGGTGTGAGACTTGGTGGGAGGGGGAACAAAGGAATCACGATGGTCTTCTCATCCCTCCTTCTTGACCTGTTGCCTCCTGGGTTTTAAACCAAGTTCTCAATTCAAACCAGCAATATGGTATTTCAAGAATATGCTTCCAAGGGGTGCCTGGGTGGCTCAGTCAGTTAAGCATCCAACTCTTGATTTCGGTTCAGGTCATGATCTCATGGTTTGTGAGTTTGAGTCCCCCATTGGGCTCTGCACTGAGAGTCCAACTTTTTGGTATAGTTCCTAAACCAAATGGCACCATCCAGGTAGTATTTCCTAATTGGAAAGCTGGATGTTCACGAAGCCTTCATAAGCTGGTTGGCCACTTCATGCCTCATGCACTCAAATGTATAACATGGTCAATGAATACAGAATAAAATCATTGGTACTTGTGGAAAATATTTGCTCTAAAGTTGTATAGACTTCCTAAGTTTCTACTCTTCAAAGGTAACATTTATATTGGTTAAAACCTCCCTATTAACTGCGATTTCCAGAGCCAATTTTCCTTTTGTGGAAGGAAACATATGGCATCTGTTGACAGACTTTGCCCTGTGGGTCATTATTAAGGTTGTGCTAGATGAGTCCATGACAGGGCTTTTCTTCTCATCATCTTTTATTTTTCATTTTTAAAGATTTTTAAAAATTATTTTTAAGTAATCTCTGCAGTCAGAATGGGGCTTGAACTTACAACCCTGAGGTCAAGAGTTGCATGTTCCACCAGCTGAGCCAGCCAGCTGCTCCCTCACCACCTTTTTTAAGTCCTTTTATTTTTTAAAACTTTTTAAAAATGTTTATTTTTGAGAGACAGAGAGAGAGAAAGCAAGAGGGAGGGAGGGACAGAGAGAAAGGGAGACACAAGACACAGAATTCAAAGAAGGCTCCAGGGTCTGAGCTGTCAGCACAGAGCCCAATGCGGGGCCCCAACTCATGAACTGCTAGATTATGACCTGAGCCGAAGTCAGATGCTGTGT